GAGGACAACCTCCCCCCTCACTTTTGCTTTTCCCTCCTCCCAGACTTTTCCCGTTCCCCTTCGCAAGGGATCCTCTTGCAGATTATTGTCAATGTGATCCTTATGTGCGGCTTTGCAATCGGATTCTTTCTGTCGGCGGTTTACACATTGATTCCTAGTGTGTGTGGACTACAAAAAGAATCATTGCGTGTGGTTTTGCAATCGGATTCCTTTTGTAGGCGATTCAAACATTGATTCCTATTGTCTGGATTTCATATCGAATCCTTCTGTACGGTTTCAGTATGGGTTTCCTTCTGCAGGCGAAACAAATGAACAAAACTCAACAAACGAAGCAAAGGAAGCAAAACACAACGAACGATCAAAATAAGCAAATCAGGCACAGCCGAAAACAAAAACGACACAACGAAACGAAGCAACCAAAGCAAAACAGAAGGTAAAACGATGGAGCGCCGAGATAGACAGTCGCCCCCTTCAGGGCCCCGAAGGTGCGCGAAAAAAGTACCTTTCTCCCCCCCCCGTTCATCGCCTCCCCTTGCCCAACGCCCGGGGAGCCGCGCCGCACGTCGCCGCCGCTGTCGACTACGAACTCCCCCCCGGAAAACAACGCTGGCGACGCCGGGGGCCGGTGGCGAGCCACCCCCAACCACTCAGACCCCCGACGTCATGATTTTTTCATGACGCGACCCCCAGAGGTCCAGACCCATTCCCCGGGACCGGTTTTTCATCCCGAGTCGTTTTTTGACGCTCCTGAGGCCCGGTGAGGGCCCCTGGAGGCCGAAAAATAGAGAAAAACCTCCCGTCGTGATTTTCTCATGACTCGAGGAGGTCTGGGCACAGACCCCCCCCCGACGCCCTTCGACGCCACCGGCGAGGATCCTCCTCGCTCCGGCAGCGGTAGCGGGGCCTGCCCCCGCGAGCCCGGCGGCGACCGCGAGGCCAAGCTGGGGAAGCGCGCGGCGGCGCTGGCCGTCCTGGCGGCGCCCGCCGTCCTCGGGGGCCCGCGAGGGGCGGAGGGGCCTTCGAGGAGGCCGAGGGGCTTCGCCGTCCTGAGGGTCCACGGGGCCACGGGGTCGCCGCCCTGAGGGGCTGGCGAGGGGTCGACGGGGTCGAGGGATCGCCGCCCGGAGGGGCTGGCGAGGGGTCGACGGGATCAAGGGGCCGATGGATCGCCATCCTGAGGGTCGGAGGGGTCGAGGGACCTCCGAGGGACCTCCGGGAGACCTCTGGGGTCTGAAGACCGGCGGACCGCTCCCTCCCCCCCGCCCTCCTCCGCCCTTCGGCCCGGAGGCATTAGCGATGCAGCACCGCACCCTCCAGCCCCAAGTCCCCCCCCCCTTCCAGTCTACCAGCGTTCCCGTTGACTGCAGGGGGCGCTGGCTTGAAAGACGAGCACCCCGTGGGTCTGCCATGCAGAAATTCAGGCGAGTGTCCCGCCTTGAACATGGAGTTGCTTTGCATCCTTACAAATAGCTACAAGTTGGGTGCGAAGAGGCAAGCATGTGATGTTCAAGGACATGCCAAACGAGAGCCCCTTCTTGAACAGACTCACCCTCCATCCGTGTGACTGCCGCACAACCTGAAAGTTCTGGACAGTACGTCTGACGACGTGCTCATTTTGAAACGGAGACATACTTCATCCTTCTATATGTTGCATGGCTTTAATCTAGGACCGTGGAAGACAAAGGAACTCAACATATAAGACCAAGTTGAACAGTAAGTGCCTCCGTCTTTGCATGTTGGGGATTCAGAATCAAGAACATAATTCAGAAAACGGCCCGTGTACGGTGATAATGAAACTTAGGAATTTAAAACGAACGTGCGCAACAATAACGTCCATTACCACATCCAGAAAATGTGCCGCTGTGCATCCGTGTAACCGTTGGAATGTTCAAGCTTCGGGGTCACAAACGGGCAGGAGATATCAGGCGAAACGCCTTGCCTGCAATATCGAGACACGTCTGGTGGCGCGACGAGGAGTTCTTCATGAGGAAGAGGGGCGGAGCGTACACGGATGACAGGAATAAGGAAGAGGATGACGATGAGGAAGAGGAACGACGAGTAGGAGGAACGGGGAGGAGGAGGAGGAGGAGGAGGAGGAGGAGGAGGAGGAGGGAGGCGGAGGAGGAGGAAGGAGGAACGAGGAGGAACGAGGAGGAGAAGAGGGAGAAGGAGAATGATGAGGAGGAGAAGTGAGGAGGAGGAGGGAGGAGGCGGAGGCGGAGGAGGAGGAGGAGGAGGAGGAGGAGGATGAGGAGGAGGAGGAGGAGGAGGAGGAGGGGAGGAGGAGGAGGAGGAGGAGGAGGAGGATGCTCTTTGTCCCCCGGCCCACCAGACGTCTGGCCAGCAGGGCGCCTCCTCGCCCAGGCCCCCCCCCTCGGGCGGGTCGCGCAAGGGATCGCGGCGCGGCCCGGCGCCGCCGGCCGGGAGCTGGCCAGCGGTGGCGTTCCTGTCGTGGTGGCCGTCGTCAGCCTCGTCGTGGACGTCCACGTCGTGGTCGCCGCTGCCCGTCGTCGACGTCGTCGCGGTCTACGTCGTGGTCTACGTCGTTGCTCGTCGCCGTGCGTCGGGATCGCCGTTCGTCTTCCTCGCTCGCTCGTCGTCGTCGTCATCGTCCTCCTCCTCCTTCGCATATCCCCCCCCTCTGGAGGGAAGGACTGTGAGGAGAAGGAGCAGGAGGAGGAGGAGGAGGAGGAGGAGGAGAAGAAGAAGCAGGAAGTAGGGTCTGAGTAGGAGGGAGGGGGTGGAGGGAGGAGAGCAGGAGGACGAGGAGGAGGAGGAACGAGGACTTTGGATCGGTGATGATGTGAAGAAGCAGGATGATGGACGATGATAACGGTTATGATGGTTCTCATGACGGCAACGAGCGATGCTGAATGAGGGGGAGGAGGGGTAGGAGGATGTGGATGAGAGAATGGGGGAGCGAGGAGGAGGGGTGAACATGATGATGCTGACGCTGCTGACGATGCTGGTTTTTGATTGCTGCACCATTGTGACCCAGACGTCCCGTGCTGGCAATTGTGTACTATGAAGTTCGCGCGCGCTTCTTAAGGCTGGCTGCGCTACGATTGCAATCGGAGCCTCCAGCTACGCAGCCTTCAATTGGAGCCACGGTCTCCTCGACTGGTAGACTGTTGTTCATGATGTCACAAGCAGTCTCGACCAGGGCTGACATTGCAATGACATCTGCCATCGTGCTCGTTGCGCCATGCATGTGAACCGAACTTTGTTAAACTGTGACAGAGTCCCGATGATGGGCACCGTGCGTCCTGATGATCCGCCGATCCCCACTTGCCGTGGGTGGCAGGGCGTGTGAGACAGTTGCCCGTCCCCGTCCCCCGCTTCCCCTCCCCAAGTGGCCAAAATCACATCAAAGGAAGGGGGCCGGAGAGGTACCAGGACCCTCCTCCTCCTCCTCCTCCTCCCTCCTCCCTCCTCCCTCCTCCCTCCTCCCTCCTCCCTCCTCCCTCCTCTCTCCTCCCTCCTCCCTCCTCCCTCCTCCTCCTCCTTCTCCTCCTCTGCTCAGTGTGCCATCTAAGGTGGCTCGAGCTGGGCGCCAACACGCCGAGGCGTCCTCAAAGGCGACCAAGAGGGCCTGGCCGCAAGACTGCCCCGAGAGGCCTCAGAGACGCCCCGAGAGGGCCCCAAGACGAGCTCCGACGAGGGCCCCCCGGGAAGCAAGACTCGCCCAAGTCCCGTTGGAATGCTTTTTGTTCCCCTCGCATCGCACGTTCGCAAGCTTAGTCTTAGCAGCGTCCAGGACGGCTCAAGCGGCCCCCAAGACCGCCCCACGACGGCCCCAGAAGCCCCCAAGAGGCCGACGGTTTTTCTCGACGTTCCTTGCTGATTTGTTTCTGCGAAGTGGAAATGTGTGACGTGTTCTACAGCATCGTTTGGCAATGCTAACGTTAATATAATAAATGACGGTCGTGCCGATGATCATGATGATGCTAATAATGATGATGGTGATGCTGCTGCTGCTGCTGCTGCTGCTGATGATGATGATGATGATGATTGTGATGATGATGATGATGATGATGATGATGATGATGATGATGATGATGATGATGCTGATGCTGATGATGATGATGATGATGATTATGATGATGGTGACGATGACGGTGGTGAAGATGATCGTGATGTCGAAATAAGCCAAGAGTCTGTCCTTCTCACACTATGTTGCTCATCACTCTCTGTGTCGATCCCTCGCCTTTCTATCGCTCATGATGTATTTCGCTTGATGTCTTAGCTTCTGTCCTGGATTATTAACTGCTTCTGCCTCTTCGTCCCTTCTATCTCTCCGCCAAGTGGGAGGGGGTAGCCGTTGCGCTCTATCTCTCTCTATCTCTCTATTTCTCTCTCTCTCTCTCTTATTCCCACACTCTCCACGCAACACAGAGTGGGCAATGAAAGCGAGCAGTAGTTAGTCCTCACACCTGCACCTCAGACCCTCCGCGGACAACGCAGAGGAGGACATCGGAGGGGAGAATGGCGCCCTTCTCTGTCTGTTTCTCTTCCCCTTACCCTCTCTCTTTCTCTTTCTCTTTCTCTCTCTCTCTCTCCCTCTCTGTCCCACCACCGTTCTCCACGTGCGCAACGCAGCGAACGAGCTGGGAGGAAACAGTGGCTGGTCCATTGTGGTTGGTGGGGAGGAAGTACACGCCCTCTTACACCCCCCACGCACC